TGATTCTCAACGTAATGCTTAGCTACCAAATCAGGAAGCTTCGTTGTGTTAATCTTCGCACACCCAAAAAGGAAAGTTAACTTCTCATCGCAAGTTACTATCTTTGTCTTCTTCTTATTCTTAGCCTTTTTCAAAGGGACAACGTTTAGCTCACGGATGTACTTCCTCACAATGTTTGTAACCTCGTACTCGGAGATCTTGTCGGTTGTGTCGTTACCAAGTGACTGTAGAAAGTCTATTAGATTCTTCGAGCCCCATCCGACAAAGTTTAGACTTTTGGGTTTTTTAAACCTCTTTTTGCTCAAAGGTTGGGACTTTACTATGTGATCTTCCATTTTTATGCTCTGTGAGGTTCAAAGGTTGAAACTTTTTTGATAAAGGTTGAAACTTTATAAAAACCCTATTTTGAGGAATTTGTTGTGGGAATGTACGTACCTGGAGATGGGTTTTACGGGAAGGTTAAGCTTCGGTGGAATGTTTGATCCGGAGGAGGAGGAAGAGACGGTGGAAGAGAGAGAGGAGTGGCGAGTGACGCAAGGCAGTGACTGGGACTGTAGTTGGAGTGGTGAAGAAGATGAAAGAGTTTTTGCGGTATTTTGTTTTTTTATTTGATTTAATTTTTTTTTAATCCGATTTGTTTTATTGGGTTTGGTATTGGGCTTGAGCCTTAGTCTTTTTGGAAAGGATGAAGCAGCGGGAGAAAAACAGCATTTGGTTAAGGAACTTTGTGATTAGTTTTGATTGTGTACTCTTAGGGGGTGGTATTGGATTAAGGAATTTGAAAGAATTCACAAGTAATAACTTTTGCAGTATTTTAAAAGAATTTATGAGAATTTAATGCAGTTGTCTAATTATTATGTTTACTTTTATATCATGGAATTTAAAAGAATGCAAATACATTTGATGGAATACAACGGATTGTATTAACGCTATGAACTAAGGATAACAGAAAAAAGAAATTTTGACCAAAAAAAAACAGAAAAAAAAAAGAAAACAAAGCTAGTAGTTTTTTTTTGAGAAAACAAAATTAGTAGTTAATTCTTGGGAAAATTATACCTTGAGAAGTGATAAATATACAATGATTTATATACGAGAAGTAATCTAAAAGGGTTATTTAAAAAAAGATAAGAACTATTTTATAGGAATTTTTATGATATGTGGTTGATTAGAATTTATAGGAGAGGATATATATTGCTTTAAAAATGATACATACCATTCTGGACAACAAAAATGAGAATTGTAAGAACACGATTCATGTTTAAGAATATGCCAAGGGCTCATGAAGATACGGTTCAGTTGTGACAAGATTGATGCATGCAGGTTGCATGTCAAGGATGATGCTTGATCAATGATGATGGATTGAGTTCATCAACACTTGATCGTCTCCGTTTTAAAAATAACAATTCCCTTCATAAACGCTAGAAATTGATTCTTTGTATTTTTACATTACATTTCCATTAAATTCCTTTCAAATAACATCCCTATCAAATCTACGAAATATTGAATAACACTAGAATTTAAATAAATTGATAAACTAGAATAACACCTGAATTTGAAAGAATTGATAAAACAGACAATTGAATAACAGTGGAATTTAATGGAAACCATAATTCCTTCCAATTCTATCAAATTTCTTGATCCAATACCCTAGCTTCTTTTGGATCATTCCCTTGTGTGTTTCAAATTTGTTTCTATAAACTTATTCAAACAAGTCATTTGTTTGTTGTAAAATATAGTTTTGCATTTTTTTGTAATATAAAATTGGCATTTTCATAGGTGACCAAACAATCTTGATTAAAACAGATCACATTTGCGTAGTTTTTATTGATTGTTTCCATTTATTTATTTAAAATGTGAAATCGATCGTGGTGTTATGTTTCTGTAAAGACTGGTGGTGCAGATCAAATCCTGATGAAACTTAAATTATATCAACTTCAAAATATTTAGATGTATTTTTTCTTTCCAAAACAACATGGTATAAACATGTTTAATGATATGAAACACTTCTTTTGTTGATTAATCGAAAGTATTGGCTACATCCGCGACTAACTAATAATGGTTCATGAATCATGCTTAAAGGATCTCCACAAGATCTGCACAAGACGTGTTACAATCTATTATGAAATTTTTATACATGAAGATATATAATTCTAGAGTTTATTAAGAGTGTGACTAAATGGAACTTCAAACGTTAATAAAGTTAAAGTAGATAAAAGTCCAGAGTTTATTAAGAGTGTGATTGAATGAGACTTCTAACGTTAATAAAGTTAGAGTAAATAAATTTTCTTCTCAGTTCTTCTGTCTTTTACCAATCAAGATAAATTTATTTTCATCTCATTCACGAGGAAAGAAAAGAAAAGTGGAGTAATATAATTTTTTGATCAAGTAAGAGAAAAAATTTACGCAATGTTTCGCTTTTATTTTGTTCCTATTCTAACTTTTACTTTTTCACTCTTTTAGTCTAATTAATTAATACCAATCAAAGCCTAAATAATATACAACATAGATGAAATCAATAATGGCTTTTGATGTCCCAACTTTTATAATGAAGAAGATGTTATATTAACAATTATAATACACGAAGTATCAAAGGACCATATTCTGTCTTACATCTTCTTCCAATATTTCTTCTCTAATCATTCTTCTAGTTATGAAGTTATTCTAAGCTCAACTATCAAGTAACGATGTTCGTTTGCAATTAAAAAAAAAAAGAAATATATTGACAGCTAAAGCTAAAACCAATTCATTGCTAACATATATATTTGTTTGTTATATCCATTCTTCATATCCGGATTAATCTAATCTTAGGAAGACATGGTAAACTTCAAACAGTAGTATAGTTCATCACCAATCATTTTGAATTATTATCCTTTATATTCTGCATATTCGGAGGAATCTAATCTTAGGAAGACGTGGTAAACTACAAACAATAGTATAGTTCATCACCAATTATTTCGAATTATGATATCCTTTCTATATTTGACATTGGTTGACTTTTCTTATTAATATATAGCTTTTCTTTAAAATAATAGTTGTTTGTGTCTCGTGTTTCTGTAATCACTTATCAAGAAGATAAAGTGATTGTTTGTTGAAAAAAAAAGTGATTGTATGTCTAACGTAAAAACAAGAAAATAAGCAAATTTGCTATGTTTTATGTTCTAAGTTACTCTCCTAATCTTATCTTAAATGAATTTCATAATTTTGGTTCTCCTTGTGGTATGTTTGTAGTAGATGAAGCCATTAGAATCTCATTTATGGTTTTCAATATAGTAAGATCTTACAATTACATTAACCTTGCATAGTATATAATTTAATATACCATTTTAATTTTCGTATTTAAACAATATCTTTACAGTTTTTAATTAAATGGTCATTCCCTATCACAGTTACGTAATACAAGTCTACAAGCAATCAATCATAGTAGTTTTCACGCCGTAGATCTTTTGTAAAAAATTTCTTCTTTAATTCATATAATTTCACTTTTTTTTGGGGATTCAAAACACATACCTCCTAATATAGAAGAATTAATAAACCTTTAGTTAAACTATTGGACTAAAAGGATTTTCACAAGGGGAATAAATTATCTGCAACACTTAATTGACAAGTAAATTTTATAATCTAACGCCAAAAAGGAGAGGAGTTTTAATAATGGTTTACAATATCCATAGAAAATTTTGCATTTTCTCAAAAAATAATAATAATATGCATGCAAACATTAGACCTGTTCATCTTTAACTTGAGTCTAAAATATTTACAACTTACTATGCGTTATATATACTGTAAATAACAAATTTATTAATATATAATTTATTGATACATATAATATTCAAAAATATAATATATTCTTTAATCTAAAATTCTAGTTCAAAACTACTAAAAATAAGTATGTAATACAAATGACAATTTGAAAAATAAAATAAATTATTATATTTATCCAGTATGTGTGAAAAATAAAGTATGTAATACAATTTGACAATGTGAAATATGTATCATTAGTTATGTAAAAATGAATAACGGGAATTGTAAAAATTTATCTTACCAATAAAAAGTAGAAAAAAAATTTATGATAGATCTAAATTTTTTTTTGTCACAAATATATAATTTAAAAATAAAAATGACCAAAATAAATTTAAATATTTTATCAAAAATAAATAAATATATATATTTATACTCTTTGAATTAACTATTCATAAATCTTTTTGTTTAGAGTGAGAGTAGAGTTTTGAAGATAGAATTTCAAAAAAAAAAAAATTTAACAACTAAAATTTACAAAAAAAAAATGTTATTTTGATAATTTTAGTTTTTGAAGTCAATTTTTGTGATAAAAAGATGTATCTTTAGAGAATTGCCGTAAAAAGTAAGAGGAAAAAATATAGAAACAAAAGTAAAACTAAAATTTGAAAATACTAGCGATGAAATAAAAATAAAATTGAGTGAAATAAAAGTCCAAAAAAGGTTGCGCAGTGGAAACAAATCCGAAAGAAGGAAGAAGGAGAGGTTTCCGTTGTGGAGTCGTAATCCAATAGACTCGACTCATCTCCGTCACCAGACGATTCTCAGATCCTTCGATCCGGCGCCGTTTCATCACTTCTCCGCCTAGAAACTAAAAGGTAAAGCAGCTCTCTCTCTCGATTAGTTTCCAGATTCGTTTCATCGAAATTGAATCGATCCTTACGTACGAATCTTCTTATAGGAAGGAAAGCTCCCGAAGTCGCGTAATCGGATCCGATAAACGTAGCTTAACGTCGTTTTTAACGGTTTTGGATTTAGGAATGGTTTCGATCGCTGTGTGTTTGTTACGTAGCTAACGGCGTTTTAACGGTTTGGATTTAGGAATGGTTTCGATCGCTGTGTGTTTGTTACGTAGCTAACGGAGTTTTAACGGTTTTGGATTAGGGATGGTTGTGTGTTTGTTACGTTAGCGAGACTTAGGGATTCACAGATAGAGAGAGAGAGAGAGAGATATGCAGAAGAGTGGTGTGAATCTGAATAATCCTTCGTTAAAAGTAACAATCCCTCAGGGACAACAGTCAGTTAGGCGTTTAGGTATTTGCTCTCAGGGATCTCAGCAGTCTTCCCCTGTTGTATTCCCTGAGAAGCGTAGCAAGAAGTTGAAGGCGACACGTGGCGAGATTAGTAGTGATAAGCCAAAGGTTGATGAGATTCGGATTGATATTGGTGGAGGAGATGAGAAGTCTGATTTGTTAGGTAGTCTTGTTTACTCAGGGAAGCTTTTATTTGATAAGAGAGGGAGAGATGGTGCAGAGATAGACGTTTTTAGCAAGAAAGCAGTTGATGGGAGGCTTACTAGGAGAGCTTTGGTTTGGGGTTCTAACGTGCTACAGCTTGATGATGTTGTCTCGGTATAGTTTTTCTTGCTTAATATGGCTTTGCAATGGACCTAAGAGCACCTCCAATGGGGAGTTCTAGCTCCGGGGTTCTCAAAATGCATATATGTGTATGTATATGTGAGGTTCTTAACTTCACAGAACTTTTTGGTTGGGTTTCCGTAAAGTTAAGAACTTCATAAATTAAATACTAGTATTAATATATACACACATGTATGTATTTTGAGAACCCCGGAGCTAGAACCTCCCATTGAGGGAGCTCTAATAGAGTCAAGAAACTTATCTATGCTTTTGTTGTTGTTTTTTTGACAGTTGACGTATAATGTGGGTCTCAAGCATTTCACGGTGCATGCTTATCCTATTGGAAAGGGTTGTTTTACGAAACCGAAGAGAAGCCGGAAAGATTTCCGGTTCATTGCACCTACTGTGGAAGAAGCTGTTCAGTGGGTAGCTAGCTTTGCAGATCAACAGTGTTTTATCAACTGTTTGCCACATCCGTTAGTCTCGAAGAAGCAGGCTTCGTCTGAGTTGTTTTCGGTTCCTATTGATACTCCTCCTGAGTTGGTGTTTAGGTGTAAGAGTGCACCTAAGATGCTGGTTATATTGAACCCTAGGTCAGGGCATGGACGATCTATCAAAGTTTTCAATGATGTAGTGGAACCAATTTTTAAGGTAACCTTATCCATCTTTTTGTTTTATTTGGATGTTGTAGGTGTAGTCTACATCATTACATACATATTATGCAACTTTCATAAAATAATTGCTTTTTGTATCTTGTGTGTGATTTTGTAAACTCTCGCAGCTGGCCGGGATTAAGATGGAGGTTGTTGAAACAAATAAAGCTGGTCATGCTAGAGAGTTGGCTTCCACTGTCGATATTAGCTTATGCTCAGACGGTACGTATACTTGGTCTATCACTGAATGATATGATTTACACCTACCAGCTTCTAATATGCGTATTTTCATCTTACATTTCTACCATCGCTTATGAGACCTTGATAATTCTTCCAGGTATAATTTGTGTTGGAGGTGACGGAATCATCAATGAGGTGTGTTAGTTAGCTTTTCTAAACTGTACTCGTTGATTTATATTTTATTTAGAAGCTAAGTTCGGAAAGTTCTGTTCATGTTATACCAAACTGCTTTTTCTTATCTGCCTATATTACTTGTCCAAGTACCGTGCTTCTGAACCAAATTTGTATTGAAACGGAACTTTGTTGGTTTGTTTCAGCGTGCTCACCCCACTTTGCAAGCATGCTGAATCAAATTAAGAGTTTAGTAACACTTATCCTCCGGATCGAGGACTTTGGGATGCGTCTTATAGTGATTTTCTTGCTCGAGTGAAACACATGAGAATTTAATTGTTGATTTTTTCGTTCAGTGTAGAAGTCTCTAGGTAGATTAAGATGCATGGAAAATACAGCCTTTGATGTTAACCTCTCCTATTTTCTATTAACTCTTAATGAACTTTCATCTCATTACCTGCCCCATGCGAATGTTGCAGGTTCTTAATGGTCTACTTACCCGAAGCAATCAGAAAGAAGGAGTTTCTATCCCAATTGGAATTGTTCCTGCTGGCTCTGATAACTCGTTAGTTTGGACCGTTCTTGGTGTTAGAGATCCCATTTCTGCAGCACTCTCTATTGTGAAGGTACTTTGTGCTCTGGTCTGGTTTATCTGGCTAGCAACATTATTTGTTCTCTGCGTAATTTATCTTTTCTCAGCTCAAAGGAATTTTGTTGGTTTAGGGTGGCCTAACAGCTACTGATGTATTTGCTGTTGAATGGATTCATACGGGTGTAATACACTTTGGGATGACTGTCTCCTACTATGGTTTTGTTAGCGATGGTAAGTGAGAATACCTGTGTACGTTGTCTTGTTAGAGCTTCCATTAATGAACAGTTTAACAGGTGTGATCAGTTATTATTATGTATTCCTAGCTTCTTCGCTCATTCCTATGTGTGCAACTGTTTAGATCTTTCATTTAATGTATTTTAGAGGAGATATTATTCTAGTCTATCTTTTAAACTTCTCAACTGTCAGTGGGAACCCTCTATTGACTCTCAATACGCTTGCTTGTCATAGCATTCAGAATATACACTACTCTCTTCGAATGATGAACTTAGAGGCTGAATATCGCATAGTTCTTAAGGCTGAACTCGTGTAAATACTGGAAATCTCTCTCTAGTTCATTTACAGTTCAGGCTTGTGTAGTGTTAGTTTGAGCTATGGATGCTGTTTTTGTGTTGGAGGGAAGGGTTATTGCTGTGAAGTATTTCTTTTGGGTTTTAGCTTGATATACCTCATATGGGTTTTAAACTATTCTGTCATTATTTATTTGCAGTTTTGGAGCTCTCTGAGAAATATCAAAAACGCTTTGGTCCTATGCGTTATTTAGTAGCTGGATTTCTCAAGTTCATGTGTTTGCCAAAGTACAGCTATGAAGTAGAATATCTTCCAGCGCAAAAAGAGGATGCAGAAGGCAAAACCAGACTTGAAAAGGAAGTTGTTGATGTGCAAGATCTCTACACGGATGTAATGAGGAGATCAAGTAAAGAGGGATTGCCTAGAGCCTCCAGTTTATCAAGTATCGACTCCATAATGTCCCCAAGCGTTAGCGAACTAGACAACACATGTAGCAGCACACATGCTAGCACCGAGCCATCTGAATATGTTCGTGGAATCGATCCTAAAATGAAGCGCATGTCCTCTGGCAGAAGAGATATTGAATCTGAGCCAGAGGTTATTCATCCTCAAGGACAGTCAACAACTCCTAACTGGCCAAGGACAAGGTCAAAGTCAAGAACAGATAAAGCATGGATGGGGTTAACATCCGTGCAGGATCCTCCTCCAACACGATCTTCATGGGGAAACACCGGTGCTCACGACAGAGAAGATATTTCATCTACTGTATCCGACCCGGGCCCGATCTGGGATGCGGGACCTAAATGGGACAGTGAACCATCAGCTTGGGATGTAGAAAATTCCATCGAGCTTCCTGGTCCTCCGGAGGATATAGAGATAGGACTAACGAAGCAAACCATGACAACACCAAGATTTGAAAATAAATGGGTTGCTAGAAAGGGTCATTTCCTTGGCATCATGGTCTGCAACCACGCTTGTCGGACTGTGCAGAGCTCTCAAGTGGTGGCTCCCAATTCAGAACATGACGATGGTACAATGGACATGCTCTTGGTTCACGGGTGTGGAAGATTGAGGTTAATTAGGTTTTTTATCCTCCTGCAAACAGGGCGACACCTTTCACTTCCATATGTAGAGTGTGTAAAGGTAATTAATTTTCTTCACTGTATTAATTATTATATGCGGTTTCTAGAACTCACAGAAGGTACTATAAAAATGCTATAATCAGACAGTCACAACAACACAGTGGTAGTGTAATTCTAGAGTCTCTAGACTAAGAGTGTTTGGTTGATGAAATTGAATCAGGTGAAGTCGGTGAAGATAAAGGCGGGAAAACAGACGCATGACAGTTGTGGTATAGACGGAGAGCTGTTTGCGTTGAACGGAGAAGTGATATCGACGATGCTACCAGAACAATGCAGATTGATCGGTAATGCTCCTCAACGACATTAGTAGTTTAAATAAATCTCATCAAAGTTATGTGGATGGAAGGAAGAGAAAGAGAAAGAGATCGAGTGGTGTCTATATATATAAAATCTCGGCTTCTTCTTTTTTTGGTGTTTTTTTGTTCTGGTCTGCGGTAAGAAGAATAACACATGAGAGTATGAAAACCATGATCACCATCCCCATAAGTTCCCTAAAAACCTTTTGTATATTCTTTTGCCCTCTTTCCATGTGTGTCTTGAATATAAATGTACTAATATATGTGTAATCTGACACTGGTTCGTATGTTTTGCTAGAATTTGTCAACTCACTACTTGTAGCGTTTGATCATACATTGGCAGTGTGTCAAAGACACTAGCCACTTGTAACAATACATGAAAAAATAATATCATGGTTATATTCTGAGAGCAGCATCATATCAGCCGCACGTTCCTGATCCCGTGAAAATATCGCATTGTCCTTTCTAAGGACACGTGTGTTCTTCTTCTCTTTCTTATCCTTTTATTACCGTTTATTTTTCTTTCTTACACGTTTATTCATCCATTACAGAACAGAGAAAACGAAAAACAGTTGTTTATTTTTCCCGACAGATTGATTCCCACTTACCCAAATCTTTCTTCTCTCTCCGGCACTCAGATATGAGTAGCCCCATCGCTATGTCACCGGCTTTCTCCACCGCCGTTCTCCCTCCGTCCTCTCACGGCTCTCCCTCTTTCATCCTCCCACCTCTCACCTCCCAATCTCGAATCAAACGCACAAGAGCTTCCACGACGACGGTTCGATGCGACGTAGCTACCAAATCAGCTGATTCAGTCAACGCAGAGGAGGCTGATCTTACGGAAGAGGAGCTCCAAGCGAAGGCAAAGGTGGGATCTTTGATCAGAGTCACTGCTCCGTTGAAGGTTTATCATGTGAACCGTATCCCTGAGGTTGATTTAGAAGGTATGGAAGGTAAGCTAAAAGACTACGTAGCTGTGTGGAAAGGGAAACGAATCTCAGCTAATCTTCCTTATAAAGTTGAGTTCTTTAAAGAAGTTGAAGGTCGTGGTCCTGTTAAGTTTGTTGCTCATCTCAAGGAAGACGAGTTCGAGTTCATCGATACTTGATGATGATGAGACACAACAAAAAGGCAAATTCTTTTTTTGTCTCTTCACTCTCTTTTCTTGTGTTTACTGAAAACTTGGGAATGGGGGGGGGAGAATGATTTGTATGTAACTGAGAGTATTGATGTATGTGTATACCTTTAGCAATCATATACATAAGTATCTCTTCTTCACCCCTGTTTGTTATTGTTACATCTGTTCTCGTTATTGTCTTGTTAAAGTCAGTGAGATAGATAGATAGACTTTCATCATTGTATATTGGAAGAAATGAAAAAGTTGGATTTTGATATATGCATGTAGACTTCATCATCTTGGATTGGTCTTGATATAGTTCATAAAGGTATTGTTTGAGACTAGCTGGGCATCATTGGATTGTAGAAAAGGTTGGATCTCGATACATATGCATGTAGACTTCATCATCTTAGATTGGTTTTGATAAAGGTTTCCATAAAGGTATTGTTTTGACTCTTCATTGTCAAGATCAAGTTCCAACTTGGGGGAAGTTTGCAAATTGAGACTAGCTAGGCATCACTGAAATGTAGAAAAGGTTGGATCTTGATACATGAAGAAACGAAAAGTTGGATCTTTGATATAAGTTCATAAGTGCTATTATATATACATTTAGTTTACTAGATTTGGAGTTTGCAACTGAGACTAGCTAAGCTTTATTGAAATGTAGAAAAGGTTGGATCTTGAGATCACGATTCTAAGGGTAGATTCAGGCTTTTGAGTTTTGATGATCACAGTTATTCTACTAGATTTGTGTTGGGACTTGAGACTATAACATCTAGTGGGGTGATATGGAGTGGATTATTGTCTACCCATTGTTGGAACGTTGTATACTCGTTTGCATAAATCTGAAACTTATTGATATGTGACCATGACTATAAGATATGTTTCATCTAAGCAATAATCACTTATCAAGATTACATGTCCATTGCCCAAACCCTCTACTTTTTTAATGTGGATTTGGTTCTAAGGAGAGACTAACCAATACTAAAGCTGATTCTTACTAAGTTTAACCATAATCATACACAGACACACAATGATTGAAGTTTATCGATTTATCATCTTAATTTTTTTAGCGATGTCATTGTTTTTAGCCGATTTTCAATACATTTCCATTGTAACTAATCATAATTTTATGATAAATATTTTTAATTAGTATTCAACCATCGGCTTCATCTCCAAAACATCCGATTAATATTCAACAGTTTTACCCAAATTAATTCTTAAAGATATGAGTACATTTTGTAAAAGTGAGTTCTTGATCTTAGCTGATAGATGCAAAACCAAATGTGAAACATTTAAAGAAGAGGGAGAAGAAAGAAAAACTTATGAAAATTAAAGACATAAAAACAAATCTTGGCATCCTCTAAACACTGCAATGAACCCAACCAGACTATAGATTACTTGAGAAGACGAAATTGCCAAAACCATGTAACGGTATTGTCATCAACTACCTAATAAAAACAAAACTATTCCTTTGTGCAAACATACAAAATACAAAACTATTCATTCAAAAAAAACTATCATTCTTCTGATATAATAAATTTTTTTTTTTGAAAAAAATATAAATTGACTGTGAAGTAACAAACTCATGCCTCTTCTCTGCGTTACGTTAATTAAGAGACAACGACCATACATGGTTAATGGCTATTGCAATACAACTTACCCTTCTGCACCACCTACGTATCCTCCTCTTTTATTCTCTTTTGTCTCTTTTGTAAATTTAGATTCTCTTCTTGGATCTTATTTTTCTTTTTCAGTTATCGCATTTTATTGACCAGCTTGTTTTAAACCATTTAATTATATGTACTTCTTTTGATTAACAAGATAAAACCAAGAAACTATACATTGATTTAATTTTTGCTAAGACATAAATTAAAATTTTCACATGGACTGTAATGTTTTTGGTATTTCTTTGGGCATTAAACGTTAAGTTTGGTGTACATTTTTTAGTGAACAGTCTTATATTGTCATAATTTAGCTCCCCACCTGTAATTCAATGCCTGATGAAACTGTATAGTCTAAGTATGCATGTGATTCTCTGAAAAATGGATGTAATAATCATAATATTATATATAAATAAAAGCGTGAGGTCAACATCAATCGTCTCCTCTTGGTCCAGCTACTGCTTTTTATAAGTAGTCTTGATTCTCCACGTTTGACTTTATTCACACTCTTTTCACTTCAGCTCTTTCTCTTTTCAAACTTTTGACCCCTCCAGAAAAGAAGATAAAAAAATGGGATGCATGGAGCTAGGGAAGAAGAAGAAGAAGCTGATAAGAAGCATTTTGTGGAGAATCAGAGCAGAGATTAAGAAGATGAGATCACCAAGAGACAAGAATAAGAAACAGACCAGTTTCAACTACGATCTTCTTAGCTATTCTCTTAACTTCGACTCTCCTTAAACCAACAAATATATGTCTTCATCTTGCTGTTTTCTTCTTCTCTGTATATCAGCTTTTTGTGCGATATTATATGTATGTTTCTAATTCTAGCTATGTATGTTGTTTTCTTCTGCTATGAATATGTATTAGGTTTCTATTAACATATTGTATTTTGAGTTCAACATCTTCCCTAGATTTAATTTCCAGTTTTTTAGGTTTCTATTAACATATTGTTTAAGTTAAACCAGTATCTACTTTTACACTTCTATAATGTATATCTTTATAATATAGTTACTCTATTTTAGAGTCAAATATAGACGAAAGTTAATTTTAAAAGTCTCACAATTTTTCTGAAAGTTTGCAATAGGCCTGCGACTTTAAACCGAACCGAACGGTCCGAACATAGCCAAACCAAAATTTTCGGTTTTCGATTCGGTTTCAGTTTTTTTAATTCGGTCTAGTTCAGTAAGATACTGGAAAGTAATTTGGTCGGTTTGGTTCAGTTTTTGATTTTCAAAAAAAAAAAATTAAAAAAAAAACCCGAAAATAACCGGGAAACCAAACCGAATTTAACCGAAATATCCGAACTTAACTGAAAATATCTGAAAATATCCCATTTGTTGGAAAACTATATTGGAATTAACCGGAAACCAATAAAATCGGTTATTTTTGAAAATAATTTTAAAAACCGAAATTAACCGATAACCAAAATATAATTCAATTAATTTCGGAATAGGTTTCAAAATTTTTAGTTAACCGAAAACTAGGGGTGGGCACAAGCCAAGTACTTGCCATTTTTGGCGTACTTGGTACTTGGCTTGGCTTGTTCGAGTAATACAAATTTGGACTTGTACTTGGTTTATTAAAAACAAGTACTTGCACTTTCAAATACTTGCTAAAAAATGGTATACTTGCAAGTACTTACTTCATTTTACTACTTGTTATTTCTAAATTAATTTATAAATTATTTTTAAATTATTTAATTATAGTATATTAATTTTAGCTACTTAAACCTTGTATATGAATTTAACAAAAAATTAGTTAGTTATAATTCTAATCTAAACAATTTTTAATAAATAATATTTATTTACTTTTCATATGTTTTAAATCGATATATGATAAATATAAAATTAATAGAAAACTCTAAAATATTCGATATCTTATATCACTTTTAATTCATTTATTTTATAAACAAGTAATCTGATTATAATTTAGAGATTTTTTTTGTCTAAAAGTAAAAAACGGATAATAAATCAAGTAATAAGTCACGAGTAACAAGCCAACAACGCCAAGTAGTTATTTTCATTTTAGTACTTGGTACTTGTCTTGTACTTGTAAGTAATTGAAATAAACGACTTGATACTCGACTTGAACAAAACGAGTACTCGACTTGAACAAAACGAGTACTCAACTTTAAGAGCCAAGTATGAATCATGTAGCGAGTACAAGCCGAATAGCAAGTAATTGTGCCACTCTTACCAAAAACCAAAATCGCAGGCCTAGTTTGCGAGAAGCAATTCTTGCTTTCATTCTCCATTTATCTGACTTCTACATTATTAGATTTTTTAAATTTGAAAGATATCCCACTAATAAAGGCCTTCATAAGTTCCATAAATATTGGGCTCGAATTTATAGAAAATGGATCTTACGACCCAACTATTTCAACCGCAAAAACTAACAGAGAAAAAAAACCGCGAACATCAAATAGCAACAAAAGCAAATCTAAACCGTTTAATACCATCTCATACACAAAACCAACGGTGGATTAAATCGCCACCTCACAGATCCTTGTCAAAACTCAAAAAAACAATTATTTGCGCGGGGACTTATATTGGCGCCATAATTTAACGAAAACGAGTTTCGTTTCCCTCTCAATTACTCCCTTTTTCTACTCCCAAACTCTCACATCGAATTCTCAATCTCAATTACTCTCCTTCCGATCTAGAAAAAAAGAAAAAGAAAAGAAAATGGCCGGTGGTGGTGGATCTTCGAAATCAACGGCTCCCAAGGCGAGGAAGAGAGTTGAAGCTGAAACCAAAACCGAAACCACTAACAACAACATCAATACGTTACTTCGCGCTAAAGATGGCAGCGCCTTTGCTCGTTGGTGATTATTCCTTCTCTATCTATGTCCTAATTTGATTGGGAAGTCCTTAATTTTTCGATTCGAGTGTTTCTGATGCAATTTTGTGAATTGTTTTTATTTGAATTTACAGTGAGGGATGCAATAAGAATGTAGCGGTTGCGCTTATTAGTATGCATAATTGTAGCCTCGACGCTAAAATTCGAGTCAATCTCGGTAAAAACATCTCTTTCCTTTGTTTCAGATGTTTCGGTTTAATATGGTTAATTTGGTTTGGTTAGTTTGGTTTACACAAATCTAGCCGAAGTGAACCTGATAAGAATCCGGTTTAGCAATCAGTTAGTTCACTTTTTAGAATTAAAATGAAGTATTCCATTTTCCATTTCCGGTTTAGGTTAGCTTGGTTAAATTTGGATAATTTGGTCAAATCTGGTTCTTTCGATTTGGAATTTGATTCGGTTTGGTTAGTTTGGTTCACACAAAATCTAGCCGAATTACACCTGATAAGAATCCGGTTCAACGATTGGTTAGTTCACTTTTAGAATTAAAACAAAAGTTTCCAGTTTGCGGAATCTTTATAAGTTAATTTGGTTGAAAATTGGATAGTTTGGTTAAATGCGGTTCATTCGATTTGAAGTTGATTCGGTTTGGTTAGTTTGGTTCGCACAAAATTTAGCTGAATTAAACCAGATAAGAATCCGGTTTATAGCAATCAGTTAGTTCATTTTTTTAGAATTAAAGTGAAGTTTTCAGTTTGGTTATATGTTAATTTTGTTAAAATTTGGTTACTTTTGGTTAAATCCGGTTTATGATTACCGGATAAAATTCCAGTTTAGCAATCAGTTAGTTCATATTTAGAGTTATACTCACTGAGTTATGATTACCTTCTCTATTTGATGTTTAATTTATCAGAAGCTCAAGTTGTTGAGACACAAACCGAGGCTAAGAAGAAACCTGTTGAGAGGTTAGCCTTTTTTCTTTTTTTTTTTTCTTTCTTTTTGAGGCCACCCTTCTTTCTTATTGTTATTTTCTCTATGTGATTTTGAATTCATGTTACTGTTTGGATTCTTCAGGAAGAAGTCAACATCTGATGAACCTAAGCCAAAGAGACTCAGGAAGGCCAAGGATGAGAACAAGAAGAAGAGCTCTTCCTTAAACAAACCCAAGCGACCTCTCACTGCCTTCTTCATTTTCATGTAATGTCCATCTTCACTTAAATCTTCTTGCTATATATACTGTTAGGGATGCTGATGTTGAGTGGCTTTCACTTATGCAGGGCTGATTTCCGCAAGACTTTCAAAGAAGAGAATCCTGACGCTGGCGTTAAGGATGTAAGTGTCCGTAACCTATTTTTTGTTACTTGAGGGTTTAATAGACTGTGGTGTCTATATTGTTGTGTAGGTTGCAAAGCAAGGTGGTGAAAAGTGGAAGTCTCTGGATGAGGAAGTGAGTTTCCTCTATTATTTGTTTCTTTCTTAAGTTTCATTGTGATCTTACTCTAGTTGTGTTCTTTGATCATATAGGAGAAGAAAGTTTATTTGGATAAAGCTGCTGAGCTAAAGGCTGAATATAACAAGTCATTGGAGAACAGCAACGATGCTGATGAGGAAGTATGTGTTTCATTTATCAATGATTTTGTCTTTCCTTTTTTCTCTGAGTCGTAAGATTATATGGTTACGCTTTCAGGAAGTGGATGAGGAGAAGGAAGCTGATGATGTTGATGATGGTGAGGAGAAAAAAGATGATGATGCTGAGGAGAAGGAAGCTGATGAAGAGGCTGATGAGAATGAAGCTGAGAAGAAAGATGGTGAAGGTAAAGAAGAGGAAGATGAGATTCTGGATGACTACTAGATGTGTTTTAGTACAATCTCAATGAAATGGATCAACTCATCTTTCATGATGGTGCATTGTAAATTTAAAACCTCTTGTCTTCATTAGTTCTTTGAATATGGTTGTGAGGTTTTTGTCATACACTGAATGATAAATTCTTTTTTTTTTTGTTTTAGACAAGTTTAGAGTATCAGCTCTTTAATCAATCATTATGTGTTCTGTTAGTGCTGGTTGAATCAAATCGATTATTATTTATTCAGATGGAAACAGTACCACATAAGTATATAAGTAGAGATTGATTTACTTTTTTGAGATAAACTCAGCGTAGGATTTGGCCACTTTCAGGATGTGTTTTCACTTCATAGTCGTCCTGCAAGGAGGCAATGGCTTGCCACACAAGCAAATGTTCTGCAGATTAGAATAGCAGCTGCCTGAAAAAATGTTTGAACAGTCTTCCTTGCGGAATAACTTCACACAATCTATTGCCTCTGAAACTCGCATGTTTCATCGCGTTGAGCTGTCCTAAAGCTCGAGGTATGACTCCTGTAATGTGAGATGTCTAGATTAACAAAATTGGAGCTTAGATCAAGTGTCTGAAGCTTGAAAAGGTTCTTGTGAGTGGAGGCTTCTCAAGTTTCCCAAACTCGCTGGGACAACACCTGAGAAGCGGTTTCTAGGCAGTGAAAGAGTTTCCAACAATGTAAGATGGCCTAAACCAGATCAGGAAGATTGCCTTGGAGAGAGTTATTATTATCTGAGCACAAGATCTTTAAGACTAGTTAAGTTAGAGAAACTGTTGAGAATCAAACCAGTGATGAACTTGGACAGAGAGTCAAGATTCCCCAGTAAAAGGTGATAATGTAACCTTTCATGTAAAGAGTAGGTTCTGTCAAGGAGCTTATCAACACCAAGTTTGTGTTTGTGACCTTTCCACTGGCAGGATTGCAAAAGAACACCTTCCATTGCATCAATCTTTACCAACCCATGAAGACACAACTCCATGATAATATTCAGAAGCTTAACCGTTTGGTTTAATTCACAGAACAAAGCTTAGCTCGGTGCCATGATAATATAACCGACCGGATTTGATGATTGAGACATTCATTGGCAAGGCCAACCCCATTTACATGCAGAGAACAACCTCCAATGATCAAAATATTTCTTGCTAACACAATATTTCTTACCTTTTTTATTTATATTAATTTATACTAATGTGAGATCTTCCTCCATTGATTTATGCTGAAGCCTTCTATATATTTGCATATACTCACTAGAGAGTATGCACAGCCAGTGACAATTCATTGGAAATGTCTTTGAGACCATTGTTTGCTAAAATAATCATTGTGTTTTGAGGCGTGTGACATTTTCCAAGCCACATCTTTATACATTTTTCTTATTTCACCATCTTCAGCTTGGTCATTGGCTGAAACAAAAAAAGAATTCAACTCATTAGATCTGTTTTTACTTTTTACCAAGGAACAATAAAAGAAACAAAAGTCACAAAAACATACTATTGTTTTATTTAGCAAAAAAGAAAAAAGAATACGTACTTTAGTTTATTTCTGACATGAGGAATTGCAATATTGTTATGCAGTTCATACCCTACAATAACCTTGATATTCTGTATGATCTTCATAGGCCCAATAAAACCTTCTTCTTTGAACTTATTCACAATATAATCATACATTAAATTAACATCTAAAATGATATGAAACATGAACATTTTCATAGTTCCACTTAATGTTATCCTCTTTCAAATACAAAGATATTGTCGCAACACATTTAAATTATAGAGATGCTCCTCTTTTCATAGTTCTAATAAGTATCGATTTATCACTTTTCTTTTTCTGTATGCCACAAACATATAAAAAATAAGATTTGTTTTACCTTTAGAATTTGAGAGCGCAAGATAAAAAGATATATTATTTTTTATTCATTTATCCAAGAGCATAATATACAATTTTAGTGCAACTGTGTTTTTTCATTCCTAGAATGATAAGAAAAAAAGATAACATCGTGTCAACCCAATAGATATTTTATCTCTTTTTAGACAATTCACTCATCATCATCCAATATGGTTTGATTAATTTCATCATCATTGGAGAGAGGTTGCTTGTAAAATTCCTCATGTATCATCAGCCACTGGGTCAGTTTGCATCTCCACTGTGATATACTATGCAGCTAGATTATCGCTGGTTTGGCACTATATGATTGGTTTTAATCTTGAGACTGAGTGATTCAGTTGCAACCACATTCTCGCCACCTTTCATGTATAAAGCTTCCCCTTTCAACCTCAAAGGAAAGGTTGCTATTTTGTTCTCATCGCTATCCCGTAACTACTACTAGATTTTCTCTTCTTCTTTTTGGGCTTTTAGATGATTGATTTTTTGGTTGCTTTTAGATGATTGGTTTATCATTTTGTAAATCTGATTTTGAGATTGATTGTTTGTAATACAATGGGATCGATAACTTCTTATGGAAAAAAATTAGTGTTTGCTTTTGTTTGTTGCATTTTTTTGTTTAGCTTGCCTCACACCAAATAAGTGTCATCAGAATGCGTCAAGTAATAATGAAATGATTATAGGACTTCTGATGCTTGTCTTCTTCCACCTTTCTCATCAGGTATTAAATTTGCTAGACTGGCGGCAAAGTTGAACTGTTTGCTTAATAAACACCAGTTTTGTTCTCTTGTTTAATAAGAAACAACATATCCACATTTATTTACCTTTTTTTGCTTTTGTTTGTTGCATTTTTTTGTTTGTTTAGCTTGATTCACACCGAAGAAGTGCTATTAGATGCGTCAAATAATAATGAAATGAATTCTACGTTTAAAGAGCATTCGACCATCACTACAACACACAAGAGGCTACTACAGACCCTAGGGACTTCATGCTGAACATTCGTACTAAAGTAACAATCATAACAATACAAAGAATAACTCTATCACATAGATAGTACTCCATAGCTGCAAGAAAACACTGAAGTAAACATTATAGATCAAATCTAACAGCAACTCAATACAAATATGCAACAAATGCAAACATTACAATCTCAATTCAAAATTTCTCCGAAGAAAATTGGGTTTACAAATGATAAACCAACAACCAAACCACAAACAAACAAATATTCAATCTAAAAACTTAGGAGGACTTTATTCCAACAAAAACTAACTTTGACTGAATTAATTATTCTTCAGTTGCAGTTCTCTACAACCTGCAAAGATTCCAATAACTTATGATTCATATTGGTTTCATAAGTATGAATACTGAGTTTTGCCAAACATACATTTTCTTCTTTGGCTTTGCCATTTTCGTTGGTTGCCTCCACTGTGATCAGCTTGTTTTGAAGCAGACTTTGCGTTTTTGTTAGATTCATCATCTAAATTGAATGAAGATCCCTTCGGATGGCCTTAATGGGACATCAAATTAGCCGGTATAAATAGACATCCATAATAATGCTACAAGAAAATAAGGTAGCATTATTATCTTCTAAACAGACACATAAACGAGCTGACTTTCCTCATCCTTTTCAGTTGACATAGTCACTTGATGTCTTATCGGACCACAAGAGAATGGTTCAGAATCAGAAGAGAACATACATAATCATCTCCTTTCTGACAAATAAAAAAAAAGGAGAAATAATATGATTTTTAGCATTTTTATAAACACTAAAAAAAGTAGAGAGCAGAGGAACGACTGCCACCTAATATCAACATCACTCCTAAATGCAGCTAGGAAGATTCTCTATAGGAGGGTTCATAACTATGAAATCACAAGTTATTTATCAAACAGATGCATTCAAACAAGAAACTCTGAATAACACTATAAAAACCCACAAAGAAAAGTAGAGGCAGCAACAGAGACATGGGTCCAAGCTTTCCTTACGTAAGTGATAGATTTTTCTTCATTGTCAGTGTCAACTTTGTTTCCATACTGCTTTCTCATGCAAATAGTTCCGAATTAAAACAAAAGCATGCCTTTGATAAAGTTTTCAACCCATTTAACAATACAACGTCTTTGTTGTTAATTACAACAATTATAAACATGAAATCTTTCATTTCTAATTAGGAGAGAGCCTAGAAAAGTCAGACAATATTGTACAAATTTTTTTTCTTCTAGCTTTGACCCTTATGTTATCCATTGTTAACAAGAGCAAGAGATTGAATATGTTTAGCTGATCTCATCTGTTTTCCTTATTTCATCCATAGTTCTCTTTTGCACCATAACGTGACCAAAGAAAATATAATGACATGAATATATAAGACCATATCATAATCTTGACCTCAAAGCGCGCATTTTAGAAACTTTTGAGATCCACAGGATCATCAGTCTTTCCCCTAAGACAAATAAAGCCCACAATGAGATGATAACACAAAAGCTTTCAAAGATGCAAAATAAGATGCAAATCAAAGATGTTCACTGATCATAACAAAAGCTTTCGGATAACACACTCTTTGCTCCATTGTATTACATAGAGAAATGAGAGTCTTCAAATATCTAGTGTTGAACAAAATCTATGTGGAAATGAGAATGCATAACAGAGAGTGCATGGAAGCCAACCTAGGGGTGGGCACTTTATCCGATACCCGAACTCGTATCCGAACCCGACCCGAAATATCCGAACCGAAATAGCAAAATACCCGAACGGGTATTAAGTTAGGAGAGTTTGTATATCCGAACCCGAACGGGTAATACCCAAACCCGAACGGGTATCCGAAGATAACCGAACATATGTATATATACCTATTTATTCCTAGTTTATTTATCTCATTTTATTAAAATATTTATATTAATGTTATATATAGTTAATATCAGATAATATACATATAATTGTAATAAATGATTTATTACTCATTTAAAATTCATATTAAGCTTCTTATTTGATATTTTAAACAAAATTTGCATTCAAAATTCGAAAATAACAACCAAAATAATGATTTTTAATTTCAATAATTTATTTTCAAACTTATTAATCGTCTAACTTATTAAACATTTTTAAAACAGTTAAGTTAATAATTAAATTTTAAATACATGAAACTTAAGTAATAAAGAATTTGAAATTTTTCTTTCAAAATCTAAATATCCGAACCCGACCCGAAATAACCGAACCTGAACTAAAAATATCCGAACCCGATCCGATATGTAAAAATACCCGAACGGGTTCTAAACCCCAATACCGAAATACCCGAAAACCCGAAATACCCGACCCAAACCCGAACGGGTACCCGAACGGGTATCCGAACGGGTACCCGAACGCCCACCCCTAAGCCAACCCCCCATTTACATGCAGAGAAAAGCAAATATTTCTTTTAGGCTAAGGCAAATTGTTTCTTACGTCACAGTCACCCTCTTTATATACAGTTTGGTAATGTTAAATTCGATCACACACACCTCAGAAAATATTAACGATTCAGGATAAAATATTTTTTTTACATACTTGAATGTCTTTCGCTCCCTTTTATTTATTTGTAACTTTTCTTTGACCAATAGACCATTTCCCTAATCCCTACCGAATCTTCTCATAATTACGTGTCAACATACATATTGAATTGCTCGTATATTATATGTCAAAATATCTTATCCGACTAAGAACACTACTAATAAAGCTTCAAATTAATGGGTTGTGACGGTACAACTAATATGGTTTATATACATAGTTTAAAAAATCCATAATCTCTACGATGCAAAAAAAATTCTGACTGATAAATCATATAAATGTGGAGGTTTCAACTATTTTCCTTCCATTGGAGTCGTATTTTACCATGAGTTATAATATTTTTGTAACCAGTCATAGCTACATTACCTAACCTTTACCCAAAAACGTACTTACATATACAACCACTACA